TGATTAAATTAATATCTAACATATACTAAGCCATAATTAGGACCGAAAACAATGGAACACTATTTGTATTTTACTAATTAAAAAAAAAAGAACATCATTATAGTGACTCCTTCCAGAGTCCCATTTCTACCCTTTTAAATGTAAGTAGAGTAGCTCACAGAGTCCAGATAACTGAAGGGGAGAAAACACAGAGTTAATTTAGTTTAAAAACCATGTACATTTTTGTTGTTTTAAATACACGTTTCCTTCATTACTTGATTAGGTAAAACCAAGTTCTTGATTATTTTAACTTTAGGTAACGTAATCCTATTATATGTCACACATAACTACTGTGTCAAATATATATGGCCTACCCATAGGAAAAGAAAAAAAAAATGAAGGCCAAGATCACGATGGCTAATAGTTTCATTATGATCTAGGAGTTTCTTTCTTATGACTTTTACAAGCTATTCTTCTGTCTTCAAGACTGTTGTCCTGCTCACTACTTAGCCTTATCTACATCAGATCCTAGGAATAAACTTCTTGCTACGAGGGACCTTATAATATTTAGTAAATAATATGTGGCCCCCAGCATGCACAAATGTGATGCTTGGATAAACAGTCAATGATAATTCCTGGGAAGAAGCTGCGTCTGCGAAGACTGACTAATTGGAACTGCGGTGATGTGGAGAGGTCCAGATGTTTTCACTCCAGAGGCTAATCACCTCACCTTGGGCTAGCTAGCCTTGGCCTCCTGCACAGCCACTTCTTGCCCACTTCTGAGTCTGAACTAACATCTTGTAACCAATAGACAAAAAAAAAAAAAAAAAAAAAAAAAAAAAAAAAAATTGAAATCTATTAACTTAGCAGACCACTAGCTTTCACCATCGCAAATTTTAAGAATGTCATTAAATAGCACGTGAGACCTAGAGAGAAGCTCCCCCAATCTTGTAACCACAACTCAGATGTACCAACAATCTATGAATCAAGACTTTCTTTGTTCTGTAAAGCTATAAAACATCAAGAAAGTGCTTACACGTTGGAATGTGGAATTTGGGGTAACCTAAATTTGTGTTCTCAGACCATGGTCACTCATATTTGGCTGTAGAATAAACTATTATTCCATTTAAGGTAAGAGCTGTTGCTTTGTGTCGTTCCCAACCACCTCCAACAACAACAACAACACCCTAGCCAATCAGTGTTTTTAAGGTAGCCAGAAGAGAAAGGAGAGTGGTGGGTGTGGTAAGGGTTGAGTCTTGACAAGCCTGATAGTATACACTGAAGAGTCTGGAACTCTTGCTTCTTGCAGAAAGAGCCTCAACTATCAGCAATGAGTATATGTTCTAAAAGCTACAAAATATATATTCCCTCACCATTGCCAGACTACTATTAAAGCCCTCACATGTAACAGGGAACAAGGAAAATCTGATTTTACTGTTTGACAACTCAGCTTATTCTGAAGTATTCATGACATATTCTAATTCCTCTGAATGGCACAATAGTTCTATGTACTTGTTATTTAAAAACAGATTGATTTGTTAATAATTGTTCCCAAGTGTCAATACAGGTGATGAATGTCTTTAGCAGGTGCCATCCTGATAGGAACTTTTCCTGCTATGATGCAAAGCAGGGACAAAAAAAAGGTGAGAGTCTTTTGCTGCACATGAACTCTCATCAGCTCCAGTGTGAGTGGACAACGCACAACTAACTTCCTGATAATCTTTTCATACATATGTGTTATATTTAATATTTAAAAGGAATAAACATAAAGATGAATAACTACAATTTAGGGTCATCAGATAATAAGCTTCTAGGGAAATCACCTATGCATACCTAAAACACACACACACACACACACACACACACACACACACACACACACACACACATATTTTGGTTTTTTGAGACAGGGTTTCTCTGTGTAGCTTTGGAGCCTGTCCTGGAACTCACTCTGTAGCCTAGGCTGGCCTCGAACTCACAGAGATGTGCCTGCCTCTGCCACTCAAGTGCTAGGATTAACAGCATGCACCACCACCGCCCGACATAGTTATAATTTTAATCTACAGTACTTCAAATGGGTACAAGGAAAAAAACCTCACAAGAATGAGTGGCAATGGCAGAGAGCAAGGGACAGAATATTATTTATTGTCCACGAATTATTTGGAAATGTGAAGGGATAGAGCAAATGTAAAGGTAATATTGTATTAAAGTTTGTTTTTATTTTTTCTTTACCTTTGTTCTGGATATGTAAAAAACCAAATGATGACTCCCTCTCAGTCTTATGTCTCAGTAGAACCCTAAGATAAATGTTGTCTCTGGTGCCTGAGTATCTTCCCTGACTAGGAAGCCAGGGAGAATAGCTTTTATCAGTGTGCTCCAGTATAAAGACCAGGACCCATGAGACCAAATTGGTGTAGATCTGCTCAAAACCTGAAAGCCAGCTGAAGTTGCCAGGTATTTAGTGCCCTAGAGAATTCTGTCCAGCAGTAAGCAGGATTCTGAGATATAAATAGTGACAATGCAAAGTAGAAGTCAAAGAACCCTGCTAGAGATGAGCTGGGACAGAGCTGTATGGGATGCTCTGCGCTTGGTAGCCAGTTCTTAGCTGCTCCTCCACAGTCAGTGATGTACAACTGGTGCTCTTGTATTTCTCCCAGCACCATCAGACCATTAGAAAGCATGATCTACTGGAAAAAATGGTGCTGTTAGAAGTTTTAGTTTGGTATGTTCTCATTGTCTTCCCTGGTAGTAAACTGACCCTCTAGCTCAAAACGCTTTCTGGCTTGCTTAGTCTGATGCATTCAATTTAATAGTCACTCAGTGCCCTTTTTTTATTTTTATTTTTTTTTTTTATCAAGTGTCTATTTGTATTCCCAAGCTGAATATTTACAATTTAACAAGTTGAGGCCTTGACCTCATGGTCTTGCTGAAGACAGAAACAAAAAAGTTAATAATGTTCATGATGTATCCATTCACTAATGTTCATGATGTATCCATTCACTACCAAAGGTTCAAATGCAAACCTTGTTTTGGGAACCTGGAACAAAGAACTCAAATCTCAGATCTTCTCTATCTTCTCTCCTAACTCATCACATGGAAACAGTTCCTATAGCTCCTGAAAACCATCCTCCCATGATGTATATCAAGTCTTGGTTTTGCTTTTTCTACCCTGAATAAAAAAAAAGCTGTGCCGGCCCCACTGAAGGTTCAGCATGCTGACACAGTGTCAGACTTTAACCCCTGTCCCCTTTATGCAGATTCCGGGAAACTTCTTTTTTCTTTAGGTTCTTCACAGTTTAGAATGCCAGTAAGTAACTTTTTTTGTTATATAATCCTCTATATAACAAACTCCAGTCATTATTTTGTACTATTTCAATTTTTCTCATAATAAACTCTTAGACAAGGATGGTTATAGAATAACTAAGCATTTGGAGTGCTGGCTTTCTAAGCCTGGGGACTTATTTTACTTCTTTCAACTCTATTCCTCTTTTCTTCATTAAAGCATCTATAACAGCAATAGAACGTCTTTTTGATTGTTGGCTTACAGGGATTAATATCGGTAGAGCGCACACGTGACTGGATCCAGCCATCTGGATCAACCTTGCTGTTTAATCTCAGGGCACACCCTACAGAGTTTGGGTTTTTTTCATAGCAAAGTGAGCAATGATACAGAAATATTGAGGCAGAGAGAGCTTAAACACATACTGAAGGTCTCAGCCCTGGGACATTAGGGTTCAAAGGGAATTTGGCAAGAAAATGAGAATGATTCCAAGGCTCATGTGAAGTGAGATCTAAGGATCCAGGTTCTTAAACTTGAAGGAATGCTGAACTGGGTTCTTCACCTCACAGGATGCTATGCGAGACCAGACTTTCCCAAGCACAGTTGCTGTAAGAACTCTCTTACCACCTTGGCAGAAGGCATGTGACTGATTCACAACTGCCCTTACAGCACTGAGGAGCTTGAGGCAAGAGGATCAGAAGTTCAAGGTCATTCTCAACTACCTAGCAAGTTTGAGGCTAGCCTTGGGCACACAAGATCCTGCATAATCAAACAAAAACACCTATATTCCTAACATTTGAGAAATGGTATCAGTAAACTCAAGACCAGTGTTAATTTTGTAGCAAGCACTCAGACAGCTTGGGTTGCATGAGATCGGTTTTACTTTAAACCAAACATCTCAGAAAATTATTTTTCTTTCTTTCTTTCTTTTTTTTAAAATAAAGCCTAGAGCTCTGGTATCTCCAGATAGTCTCCCATCCAAGTACTGATCAGGCAAGACCCTACTTAGCTTCCAGAGTTAGGGGCATTTAGGGTAGTATGGCCTCAGACAGAATAATCTTATGGCATTCAAGATGGTTGTTTTTCTTCTGTCTTAATTATTTGCCTTTTAGAATGCCTGCTAGGGAACCAGTAAGAGGCTGCCTGGGTCCTCAGACCTCAGTCAGTGTCACAAGCCTGGAAGGACCAGCTTCTGTTTGGATTAAGAACACAACAGGAAACTGGGTGTGGTGGCCGCACCTTTAATCCCAGCACTGGGAAGGCAGAGGCCGGCAGATCTCTTCCTGGTTTACAAAGTGAATTCCAGACAGGGGTACACAGAAAAACCGACTCGAAAAAAGGAAAAAACCCAAACCAAAACAAATCCACAACACTTCTAGTAGTACGTATGTGGATCCGAATTGTAGCAACTTAATGGTCTCATCCTCAACGCTTCCGTGGAATGTCACGAGCTTTTTACTATGTGGCTCCTGTGCTTGGTCAGTCTGTCCAATGAAGGCACAGGACGCCCTTGTCCACTGGGCTTCCCTGACCCTCATTTACCGTTCAAGTCATGCTATCCTGAGGAAAAAGTTGGTGATGCCAAGAGCCCAGAAAAGTGGAGTTGGGGGTTTCCCTAAGATTCCATTTCCTTTGTTTCTGGGAAGGCCGGAGGCCCAAACTCGCTTGCTTTTCGTAAACTGAGAGATATATTTAAATTCATTATTTTTCATTGCAGTCCCTTGATTGCCTTGGGAGGTGTTTTTAATAGTTAAAATAGACACCCTTCAGACTTTTACACTTAGACAGGCTACCACTCCACTTAGACTGGCCAGAACTCTAAAGTTATGGCAAGACGTTTGGCTTTCAGATTCCTTATTTGTCCAATTACATTCTAGGGGGTCCTATTGACCTTGGCCAATAAACTGTACACCACAAAATCTCAAGCCAATTCTGAGTAACTAAAGCTCGCCGGGTTGGGGTAAAGACTTTCATCATTGTACTTTGTTCAACTCTTTCTTTGAAACAGTGGGGGCTCTGAAAAGAGCCTTTGGGTTTGAAGTTTCCTAAAGTTTTGACGGCTGGTTGTCAAATTACTTTCCCTTGGCCTTGTGGTGGCTCTCGGTCTTCTTGGGCAGCAGCACCGCCTGGATGTTGGGCAGGACGCCGCCCTGCGCGATGGTGACGCGGCCCAGCAGCTTGTTGAGCTCCTCGTCGTTGCGGATGGCCAGCTGCAGGTGGCGCGGGATGATGCGCGTCTTCTTGTTGTCGCGGGCCGCGTTGCCAGCCAGCTCCAGGATCTCGGCCGTCAGGTACTCCAGCACGGCCGCCAGGTAGACCGGGGCGCCGGCGCCCACCCGCTCCGAGTAGTTGCCCTTGCGGAGCAGCCGGTGCACGCGGCCCACGGGGAACTGCAGGCCGGCCCGAGACGACCGGGTCTTGGCCTTGGCGCGAGCCTTGCCGCCCTGCTTGCCGCGTCCAGACATTATTGAAGCAACAGCAAGACAATCTAAAGTACCAAACCTGGTAAAGCATGGCTGCTTTTATAATCGGTTCCTGGATAGTAAAAGCAACTACATGATTGGTTACAAGAGGGCTCAGCGATATAGCCAATAGGAAATCTGAGTCTCAGGACCTCATTTGCATATCCCCACCCACGAAGCCACTGATATTTCTTCTTCCAATTAGCTAAGACTCATTGGACATCCTTCATTAGCATAAACGCCCTATAAGTAGGAGAAGTCCCCTTCCAACCCACACTGAGCTTCCGGTGTCTAGATATCTGAAGATGCCTGAGCCCGCGAAGTCCGCTCCCGCCCCGAAGAAGGGCTCCAAGAAGGCCGTGACCAAGGCCCAGAAGAAGGACGGCAAGAAGCGCAAGCGCAGCCGCAAGGAGAGCTACTCGGTGTACGTGTACAAGGTGCTGAAGCAGGTGCACCCCGACACGGGCATCTCGTCCAAGGCCATGGGCATCATGAACTCGTTCGTCAACGACATCTTCGAGCGCATCGCGGGCGAGGCGTCGCGCCTGGCGCACTACAACAAGCGCTCGACCATCACGTCCCGGGAGATCCAGACGGCCGTGCGCCTGCTGCTGCCCGGGGAGCTGGCCAAGCACGCCGTGTCCGAGGGCACCAAGGCCGTCACCAAGTACACCAGCTCCAAGTGAAGTGGCCGTGCCAAGTAAGCCTCTATCGCGATTCCCAAAGGCTCTTTTCAGAGCCACCCACCTTCTCAAAAAGAGAGTTGTGGCCAAACACTGCATTCAGCTTAATTTTTAAGGTTTAGCCAGAAGCTATACTTTCAAGCTACAATTGCTTTGTTGGCTATGATTTGAAAGAAATGTTTCGTAGGGCAATTTTTGCTTTCCGAGCCTTGTAAACGTCACTTCCGGTGAAGCTGAGTCACTCCACCAGAAGGAACGAAGTTATAAAGGAAGGGTGACAGATTAGCAAGACAATAAATAGACCTGGTACTGCCCTGCGACCCCTGGAGCAGGTTTGTCTTTTGAGGGTTTATATGGGGAAGAAGCACTTTCAAGTTTGCTTTCATTTTGAAAGATCTAAACAGGAGCCTGTTACCAAGTACAGCCTTTTTCTTAATTTTAGATTTAAAAACGTACATCATACTAGAGTTTTGCTTAACCTAAGACCCCTGAGATCTTACCAGTTTTTGAAAGCTTCATTAGGGTATAATAAAATGTGGTCTGGCATTACCGAACAAACCTCCAACGCTGACAATCGCCAGTCAGATCCTGGTGAGAAAGGAAACACTTGTTCAAATGCAGATGTAGACATTTGTCGCGTTAGAGCACTTTGTCCAAGCTGTGTTTATTCTCATAGTCGCAGTGACAAGCGTAGAAAGGGGTGAGGGGAAGAATCGAGGCAGCCAGTGCTGTGGGGTTGAACTGGAAGGAAGCATAGGACTTGAGCAAGAAACGCCGAAATGAAAGCCATTGCTGTGAATCTGACTTAATTCATAATAAAAGGAAAAGAAACTGAATTCAGAGTCCTTAGAGGGTTTTCCTATCCCTCTGCTTGTCCAGTTGAAGGTCTAATGTCATTTCGTTCACCCTAACTGCCCACAGAAGAGTTCTGGCCCTAAATATTGGATGTACAAAGCTCAGTGCACTTTCTCGAGACCCATTTCTTTTATAAGCTGTCTTGCCTTTTCGAAGAAAACAGTTCCGTAGCTTACTCTTCCGCGATACAAGTCAACACCATGCTAATCACCTCCTACACCATTTATTTCTAGAAGCTGTGCTAGATATGTTCATGTCTACATTATACGCCAGCGGTGTGGGGGACCTGGCAGCCTTCTGGCGCTTCCGTCTCCTCCATGCTACAGCTTTGTTCTTGCACAGCTCTCCTGCTTTTTCTGATTCTCATTTGGATGATTTGGTACCAAAGGACCACAAATCAGGCTCAAAAATGTATAAACAGGCTCCAGGGTTGGAGGAGTTTAATACTCTGCATTTGACAACAGTTGAGAGTGGATGGTTTTCTCTCCTTCGGTGAGATTCATTCTGTTTCTTTGTTTCAGTTGCCCTTTTTATCTCCTTCAAAACTTTGTGCGCCCATGTGTGTGCATGTGGTATGATGTGTAGTGTTTGTATGAGTTCAGGTGGTTGTTAGTTTGCTCAAAAATAGCATGCCTGTGTGAAAGAGAATATAAATATAAAATAGCTGCCTCTAGTAACTTGATCTTAATGAAGCATAGACCCAAACAAGACAGTTCCAGACCAGAAGAAATCAGTGAAACAGCATGTTGTCTCAAAATCTCTGAAATCCATGCTTTGGTAATTCCATGCCTGATTGTCACAGGCAGGCAGGGTTATTGGCTGAAGGTTTTTATTGTTGGTTCCGGAGGAAAGTGAGAAACAACATAAACATGGGTGCTGAGACAGGAGGTTGCTTCTACTACGTATAAAACTATTACTTAAACCTTAGTGATTTATTATAAGGGATATAACAGTAGAATGTCTACCAAATTTGGAAGAGGACCAGAGGAGTGCTCCTATCCTGAATTACTCCTGTTCCCGCTTCCCCAGGGCCTCTCACCTTTGTTTCTTTAGTCAGAATACTTCAGTAGATACCTACATCTGTGTTCACTGTCAGCCTTTTATTCCACTTATCTCCTCTAATTTGCACAGTTGCTGTGAATCTTCCTGTTTTAGGAATATGAGTAACTTTGAGCACATTGTCTATCTCAGTAGGAAATGAGTAAATTATATTGTAATTTAAATATAAACAGGTTTTAAAACAGTACATCAACTTTAATTAAAAACTCTTAATTATTGTAAATTATTCCACATTTTTAGGCTTTGAATTAAGGTGTGGCCTCATGTTCATAACTGCATTTGCACATTTTTTTGTTGTTTATTTATAGTTTGACTTCTAGTTTAATTGTGTTTATCATAATGTAAAAGTGTTACCATAATAATCTAGTTTACAGAAGTCTAGGGTTTATTTTATAAGAAAAAAAGACTACCTTAAATTTACCAATTTTTTCCACTAGGTCTATTTAGTTAAATAAAATCACTTTTTAATACAAAAATTTTAACTTGGGTATTGAACTAAATAAAATCATAAAGTAATTTTTTAAATGGAGTGAAGTTTTATGTAACAAGTGATAAGGATTCAACTTGTCAGCTTAAAGACTGACTTCACACACAGATAATTACTTTAAGAACCTAGATGAACATTAAGTGGGATGAATTAGTGCTTCATCATGGGATACTATATAATTTCTAACTTAGAGGTTACAGACTATAAGACACTGAATGTGTGCTGCTGCCCAGGGGTCTGTCCCTCAGCACGCTCTGGGCAGGTCCGAGAATTTGGAGAGGAGATGTGGACTAGGGAGCCACTGGGCCAGACCCACGGACGCACAGGAGACTTTCTTCAGAGGGCCAAAGTTTAAGTCTCCATTTTGTTTTCCTCTCTGCTGGATTCTTTTCTTTTCTTTCCCTGTTTGTTCTTCTCCCTGATGTCTCCCGTCTTCTTCCCAGCTTTCCTTCTGTCTCTTTCCCAATCTTATCCTTTTTATTTCTTCCCTGATATTTTTCCTTCGGTGTCTTTCCTTCTCCTGTTTTTTCTTATCTGTTTTATTCCACCTAACACAAAGATTTCTTTGCGAGAAGAGATTACCTCACAACCATAAGTTACATATTTTTCAAAAACAAATTAAAATCTTTACATAGGAAGAAATCATATTAAGATTACAAGTTACATGCTTTCCTTAGAAGCCCACAAGGAGTTAAACATTTTTCTTTGTATTAATTTTCCCACCATAACATCTTCACCCCAAAGCAATAGTCGATTAACAAAGTTTGAGCAAGCCGAGTACCTTTCAGCCAGTTCCCTTTGCACTGGCTGGCAGCTGTCTGCCATTCCAGCGTGGCAGATCTCTGATTTCTCCTCTAGAGGAACTTGAAATGAACGGTCAGCTAAGCATCTGGTTTTCCTTACACACAACAGGGTCACTTCATTTCTTTTCACAACTTTGTTTTTCAAGGTGCATGCCGGGGCCTGTGATTAATTCTGTACGTTACATGATCAGGGAACTCAGGCCCAAGCCTGGGTGCGGGGACATAATTACTGTCTTCCACCATCATCCTGTGTTCCCACAGGCAGAATTGATGATGTATGAAACTTCCTTGTTCTTACTGTCTGTCTTCTGCAAATCTCACATCTAACAAAGGGGAAAGTAACTCCTGGCCTGTTTCTCTCTCTCGTTTTATTTTATTTTATTTATTTATTAATTTTATCTTAGTGGAACCATTGGCAGAGTGACCTAAACCATTTTCCTCATCATTTTGACTGTCTTAACCACCTGCATCTTTTAGGCTAACTCAGAAAGTCCAGTTAATTCATGGATCTAACTAATCATCATTGCTCTCATAAAAATCATCTTCATTATGATCTACATGTAAGTTGCCCTGTGAGGAGTGGGATTCTCCCAGGAAACAATCACCCTAAATTAGATACGGTGGGAGCCTTTCACATAGTCAGTCACCACACCACGATTGATACAGAGGGAACAGGGCATCAGCAAACACAAGGAAACACCTCAGAAGCAAGGGGCATTCTGGGAACAGTGCTGCCGGGCCTTTGCCTCTCCAGGATGCACCCAGAGTAGCTTTGTTATCCCCTGGGCTGTGTTCCATGAGCGCCATTGCTGACTGCAGCTCCTGGGACATGGCCACCCACAGTTCCTTCTGTGTAACTCTCCTGTTGTTAACACAGGTTATAATGAGTGTTGCTTAACAAATTAGAAAACACTTTCAGTTTAGGGTGGCAGTAGCCATCCTTGCCTTTGCCACTTTAAATCTGTAGGAGTGAAAGATAATGGAGACGCACCATGGGCCTAGAAGACCAGGAGGGTAATTTATTATTGGGACTTGTTAGTTTATATATAAGGAAACACAATTGCTTGCTTCCTCTAAGAGCTGCCTTTAATGTCTACCAGGTTCCCTAGCTACAGAGGAAAACAAACA